CATCTTGTGTTAGGAAAATACTCTGGATGTAACAGCACTTCCTCTGGTGAAAGAGGGTGTCCCCTTTGGAGCCTGTCAGCAGTGTTTTGTGTTAACCTAATTCCTCACAGCTAGAAGATGAGTACTCTGAATGTTTGTTCTTTTTTCTCCAGACCTGCTTGTCTAAAAATAAGGGGTTTATATTTGGATAAAAAGAACACTGAACTTCTGATCAGTTGAATGTGACCCTTTTTAATGTACACATTACTGATGAAAGTGCCTATATACTTAAGCTGATGCTTCCTTCTGATTAATTAACTTGTCGTAATTAGAACTACAGGATAGTGTAATTTCTTAGTGCAGTGTGACATGAATCTTCAGCATATTCACCTTAGCTCCTTGGTGAGGTCAGTTTATGTAAAAATGAAAGTTTTCTGCCGTATATTTCTGGGACCCTGAACAAACATGCCTTATTCCTTCAGTGTTTTGATTTCTTTCAGTTACCTGGTTCCTTGTCTTGTACATTTTCATTCTTACAGGCAACTCATGGATTTCTTGGTTGTTTCATACAGATTGAAATAAAAAGCAGTAGAGTATAATTGTTCTTTCCAAACCAACACTTTGCTGTCTCTGTGGAATATTTTTTAGTTCATTTGTGCCAGAGTAAATGGTAGTGTTTAGCTCTCTTTACATAGAGCTGCGTGGATGACATGCTGACGGTTATGTTAAGAGGAAGAGGAGGCTGTTTACAGGATAACAACAACAAAAACAAACATACAAACCCCCCATCGTTCAATAATCATAGAAAGCAACAGGTCATTCCTATCTAATGCATAGTTTAGTAAAGGAAAAAATATTTAGTACATAGATTTTTGAGGACCTTATCTGAAATTATTAAATCTTTTTATTTAAGCTGGTACAGCTTTGTGCATGGGTAAAAAGGTTAACTCTTATTCCATCCTGATCTTGACTGTACAGGTTCAATAAGAAGCCAAAGAGAGGGATTCAGTACCTGCAAGAACAAGGAATGCTTGGCACTACTCCAGAAGATATTGCTCAGTTCTTGCATCAAGAGGAAAGATTAGATTCAGTAAGAAAACTGTCCTGATAATTGTTTTTGCTGATGTAGATGTGTTTATACTAATTGCAGATGACTTGTTAGTATTTTGAAGCGTGTAACATTATTGTACAATGAAGAAAAGGAAACTTACTCTCTCTTCTAAAATTCGTAAGCTTAAGGATTTTAAATTGGAGAATGCATTAGAACTGCACCCTATACTATACGTATCCTGCAGTTCAGCAAAGTGTAAAGGAGAACACTGACCTACTTGAGCTGACTCAAAACTTGTACTTGGTTACTAGTATAGCTAGAAGCAACTTAGTAAATTGTGTGTTTTGTATCTCCCTGAAGAGTATATACTTTAGTCCAGTAAGTAACTGCCAAAAGTATCTGTCCTTCAGAGAGGGCTTTGATTTTACTTACAGGTAGCAACTGTTTCTGGACTTGGAAGGGTCCTGCAGTATCTGGCTGAAGAGGATGGGAATATCTCATGTTATTATTGTCATGAAAAACAGCTTTCTGAACCAGTAGCCTGCACCATTGTGCTTAGTAGCCACACCCATTTTGGTGCCTGTGCTTGCAACTGTGGCGAAAGTCACAAATTTCAGTATTAAAACTTAAAGTCTCATATCAAAACAAAATTTTTAACCTTAGTTTACATATGCACGTACTGGCATCTTTATCTAAATGCTTGTTATATTTTTCACTGTGCTATGTTACACTGACAGTGATCAACTTGGAAGAATTTGAGTACCAGCTATTTATATTTGAGCATCACTTGTATCAGTTTTAGATCTGCACTCTAGGGGATAAAGTTGAGTTTAATAAGCTTTTAATTCCTGTAGTAAGTCTTCTAACTACAAAAATCACTATAGTAGAGACAATCATTGATAATATTAACTTTGTATTGTGCACATGGAGTTCATCTAATGGAAAAATGGCATATAAGTAAAGCCAGAGAAGGAGGAATGTAAGCAGATATATATGAGCATGTAAGAGCATTATGATGGAATGTATGGCCAAAATACTTGGCTTCGGAGAGTAGAGGAGAAACAGGAGTACAGTTAACTGTACAGACCTCTCTATTTGTGAGACATTGGACTCTGGTTTTGGTTTTGTATTTTTCCAAGTGTAAATGCATTAGTTTGTCTTTTCTGTTCTTCTTTTAGACTCAGGTTGGGGAGTTCCTGGGAGACAATGATAAATTTAACAAAGAAGTCATGTATGCCTATGTAGACCAACACGACTTTTCGGGAAAGGATTTTGTTTCAGCTCTGCGCATGTTTCTAGAAGGATTTCGTCTTCCAGGAGAAGCTCAAAAAATTGATCGCCTAATGGAGAAATTTGCTGCTAGATATTTAGAATGTAACCAAGGGTAAGATGTACTTTGTCTTCAGAACCTTGGAAAGCTTGAATAATTAGTAAAAATCCTAATAAATTAATTTTCTGTTCTTTTTCTCCTCTTTGCCTTCAGGCAAACTCTTTTTGCCAGTGCAGATACTGCATATGTTTTAGCTTACTCAATTATCATGTTGACAACAGATCTTCACAGTCCACAGGTATGTTGCTGGAATAAATATCTGTGTAATCCATAGATACGTAAATTTCAAGCTTTGTGACAATATAGTTTTAAAGGGCTGAGGTCCAATTTAACACCAATTATGTAAGAAGTAAGGTAGCTTATGACTGACAGTTTTATGGAAGATGAGATTTTTAAGTTGTTTTGGTTAGGCCTTTCTGTAAGGTAGATTTCTTTTAGATAGATAGTTTGGTCTGTATGACAAGATAAAGCACTCTTTTTCTCTCTTTCTTTTTCTCTCTTTCTTTTTCTCTCTCTCTTTTTCTCTCTCTCTTTTTCTCTCTCTCTCTCTTTCTCTCTCTCTCTTTTTCTCTCTTTTTCTCTCTCTCTTTTTTTCTCTCTCTCTT